CACAGATATAACATAAAATCCAGGAAGAACATATACAGTGTATCCACCTCACCCCACATGTCCCCTGAAAAGGATTCATCTTCATTTTCCAGCCCAGTAATATCTAACATAGAAATTTAAGTAAAACAAGAAGTACCGGAAGGCACTTTACATTTAAACAGCCAACCGTAACAAGTCAACTAAATTAGGAACAACCGTAACACGTGATGCAAATTGATTTAAAACAACTCCAGAAAAGGGATAATGATAACAAAATAATAAAAACTTTCCAGTGAAGAGGAAATAATTTATATGGAAGGATACAAGTTGCAACCTTATCAATGTCAAGAACATCTAGCTTGTTGAAAAGGTCCAGGCACTTGCAAAGCACTGAGTGTATACAGTATATGTGGGTTAAGCCCAGTATTACCGGCAAAACCTCTGGTAAGAGCAAGTATCAGCAAACTTTAATATCGTGACCGAATTAACTTAAATCGACTCATTTGTTTTACTTACACTAATAATACTAACAATTAAACAAAAAAAGACTAAGCTTTAAGATATACCAGATTCATGTTGGCATTTCATGATCCATGAAATGACTTCATCTGCATTAACAGTATCAAGCTTCCCTAGATCCAAGGCTGTTAATCCCTAATATGCCCCATTCATTCTTGGATGGTCCATCACCACCGATTCAAAACTATCCTTTCTCTAGCCATAAGCAATACCAAAATAATCAACTTGAGGTAAAAATGAAGTTTGAAAAATGTAAAACAAAAACTGAAAATCAATCAGTTTGAAACTTACCTTTTCAGCAGACAAAATGTACTGAATATGTTTGTCAATAGCCAGCTCTCCCATGATCTGCCATCCATTTTCCACATCAATTTCCAAATATTTAAGGGTTTACAAAACAGAGATTAAAAAAATTAACAATCAAAACCCAATGAAGACGCAATTAAAAGTTAACAAGCTTGTAAACAAAAGACCCAAAGAGTAAAAAGGTCATGTAAACACCTCCTTTTGTCAAGGTCCTTTTATCCACGATGAATAATTAATCAACCCTACTCTTTTTTCAGTAAATTTGCATGATTTTGTACTTTTACTAAGGCTATAAATGAACCGAATATGAACGAACAAATATATGTTTATGATTTGTTCGATTATTTTTAGAAGTGTATGAGCGCAATTTTTGTTCAGTAAAAAAAATGCTCTATTTGTTTGAGTTTGATTCATTTAAGTAGTAAGACGTTCGCATTTAATTCATGTTCAGTTCAATTAAATTAAATGAGCTTGTTCATAAATATTAAATGAACATATTCACAAATAAACAAACCATAACTAAATAAATTTAAATAAATAAACACTAAACAAACATAAATGAACTCAAACGAATATAAATGAATTTTAAAATATAATTACGATAAAAGATAAAAATGTAATTTTGTTAGTATTATTATAAATGACCAACAAGCGAACAATAAACGAACAACAAATGAGCAAAAAATGAATAAGTTTTAAACAAACTTTAAACGAGCTTGTTTACAAACATTATGTATGTAAATGAACCGAACATAAACAGACAAATGTTTATTTATGGTTTGTTCATTTATTTTTAGAGATATTTGAGCTTGATTCGTGTTCGATAAAAAAATTGCTCTGTTCATTTGAGTTCAATTCATTTAAATGATAAAATATTTACGTTCGATTTGTGTTCGGTTCAATTAAGTTAAATGAGCTCGTTTGTAAACATTAAACGAATATGTTCACAAATATATATAAATAAACATGTTCATAAATAACAAATAAATCATATGTAAATAATTTAAACAAACAAACCTTAAAATAGAATTAGGATAAATGATAAAAATATAATTTTATTAATATTATTATAAAAGAACAACAAACAAACAAAAAACAATTAAGTTTTAAACAAATTTTACACTAATTTGTTCACGAACATATACGAACCAAATTTCGTGTTCGGTTCATTTAATAAACAAACATAAAATGTTATTCAATATCATTTATTAAACTTAATAAACGAATATAAACAAACAAAAATCAAATATATTCTCAAATAATTCATCAAAAGCTCTAGTCATTTACACCTCTAATAAACATAAATGAATCAAACAAATCTCTTTTTGTGTTCAGCTCATTCAATAATCGAACATAAAAATGATGTTTATATCATTTATTAAATTTAACAAATAAACAAAAATCGAAAATGTTCCTAACAGTTCATCAAAAACTCTGTTTGTTTACCACACTGATTTTTACTTTGTTCATTTTGAAACTTGGGCTTAGGCCTCTGGTACTCGATGGACCATTTGAGCTCATGTAAATATTGAATAATATAAAAATGGAAAAAAGTGCACCAAAACCAAATTGGAGGCTGGCATTTGAGCTCATGTAAATAGCTTTCCAAAGTTTCTATCACGTCCGAACTCGATCCGATTTTATGCTTTAGTATATTCGAACTTAATCATATTCGATTTTTTTATACTCGAATCCGACCCGATCCCGACATTATGTAAATTGTACTCGACCCGAAATTAATAAAATATTATTTTTAAAAATATAAAATATTATTTTTTAAATATAAATATTTAAAAATATCATTATATAAATATATAAATAAATAAATAATTTAATTAATTAATTAAATAAAAAAATAATTTTTTATATAATATCGAGTCGGATTTTAAATATACCCGAACCCGATCCAATCCCGATTATTTCATAACTATACCCGACTCGAAAACCGAAATTAAAAAAAAAAACTCAACCTCATAAGATCAGATCGAGTCGAATTGAAACCCGTCGGGAACGGGGTTGATTGCCGTCCCTAGACTGGACGTAGAGTGTACAGAACTAATGTAACGGAGACAATTAAGCATTACTGCAAGCATATTAGCAGAATTTAATGAATGCTTAAGTAAACGATGGTTTATATTGCAGTATAATAATTGAATTATATTTGTAAGTTAGAACAACCCATGTTTCAATCGCCAAATCTCGTGTCCTATATCATGTTGAGTGATTAACAAGATGCAAAGCGAAAATTTTTTTATAGATTTTTGCTATGTACATAAATCGTAAACCAATTGTGAATTAGTTTTTCTTTATTTTTTTTGGTTGTTAATTACAACATGGTAAATTCTGGATTGGTCTAATTTTTACCTCAGTTTGTGTTTGATGTCTATGGATTGGGACTGTCACGGCATTCACAATCACAAGTTCATAGCAGCAAGGCAGAGATGCTCGTCAACAAAAGAGAAAAGGCCAGCATGATGTTTACTTCCTTTAATGCTTGGTTATTTCGTATGTTTTTTTGTTATCCTGATGTCGACATTGTGAGAGAATCTTCAATAGAAATTAGCTGGCAACCAGACACTTAGCCTTCGGGATCTTCCCTTATCGCCACGCTCAGATTCGTGAGACCTGTTTGGTACTGGTGTGATGGTGTCTCCCCATATTATACGATCACACCTGTTTTTGGGGTAGAGCATTCACAGTTTTTTCCTGGTTGTAATTGCATAGTACACAGGAAAGAGATTTGACTTGACGGATTTTAGAATTATACGCTTTACAAAATTCATTTTTTAAAATTTTGAAATAAAAATTAAAAAATAAATAATAGAATAAATAATGTTTAGAAGGGGATAAAGAAAGTAAATAAAGAATTTAGTTTAAAATTGATTTTTTTTATTTTTTGGTTTTAATTTTTTTTGGAGTTTCATTTTTATATTAAATAAAACAGATTTTCTTTTAAATTTTGGTTTTAATATTATTAAGAGAAAATCAAAAGGACAGATAAAGTAGATAAAATAATATTAAAATTTTAAAAAATTTAAAAAATAAACATAAAAATAAAAAAACAAATTAATTTTTTTCATACTTTAATTTCACATAATTAAAGATATATTTATTTTTTACATATGCTAAGAATTTAAGTTTTAAACATTGATCTTTGATGTATACTAAAAAGAATTTAAAAGAAAAAGCTCACACGTAATTTGTATAAATTTAGAGTGAGAATAATAGGAAGGTATTTCGGTGTGGATATTTTACAATAGGACACCATGATAAAATTTAAAAAAAAAATGTAATTATTGATTATTTTATTATTACGCAAGTGATATTATTAAATTTTGTTATAATTGTATATGTAAATTAAATTTTAACTAAACATTATTTCATACATAATTTTCGAGCTATACCTCTTATTTTAGAAATTTAAAAGGATTAATATAATAAAATAGTTCTTAAATTATAACAAAAGGTGAAATTTAAATTTCAAAAAATTTTATTATGATATTTAAATTATAAATTTCTTAATTAATGTAATATTTATTTTTAATGTGATAATTTTAAATAATAATATGTATCTCGCAAATAATTATATAAATAATATATTAATTAATAAATTTATAATTTAAATATCAAATTAAAAATTTTTAAAATTAAAATATCATATTAAAATTTTTTTTTTTATAATTCAGATATGATTCATAATATGAACCCAAATCTAAATGAAATACTGACAACTGCTTTGCAATAGTCGGTGGAAGCTTCAAATAATCTGATGTTTGTTTGTTCGTCTTGTATATAAAGAGCATACCTTCCTACATATATGAAAGGCGCATAACCAACATTATGGATACTTTGTCCGATAGCAACATAAAAGCTGTGTTTCATAAATAAACCACGTAAGCATAAAATCAGAGATAAGTAATGAGATACACAAAAAATAAAAATGCAAAATACTACTACAACTCTTTCGTAATAATATATAGAAATCTTCATGATATATGGACATGGGTCGAAAATGAAAGATTTTTAACTGAACTAAATTAGAAAAAAAAAAATTCAAAGAAGAAACCGTCTCAATTTATGGTGGCTCCCCCCCAAACTCAATTCTAGAATTTTACGTGTGAAAGTTGCTGTGACGTTAGCCTGCAAATATCAATGTTCTACGTCACGTTCTTCAGGTTTTCTGTCTATAAATACGGTCCAACCGATAATCTTATTTTTGTGAAAAACCAAGAGAACCTCAAGAAACTAATACATATAATTGACGTTTAGTATTTTGTAATTTGCATTAATGGCAGCTGAACTCTTGCACTTTCCCTATTCTTGCTTTTTGACCCGTACGCTTCCAAGAGATTTCACACCAAGAGCACTTCATGGAACTGCCATGAAATTGAAGATCCGTTGCTCCGTCAGCACTCAAAGTTCCCAGTTAACTCCTGAAGAAAACAGGAGATTGGCCAATTACCAACCCGACATGTGGAATTACGACTTTTTGCAGTCCTTGACCAGTGATGAGGAGGTAGCTATATATATTTCTTAAAATTTGTTTTAACCATTTATCAGTGAATGAACATTCTAGCTCGAGTAACATTAGTTTTGGTCAAGCTTTATCTCTTTGTAATGTCTTTGCAGGTTGAGGTTTGTGAAGATAGAGCAAAGCAACTGGAGGACAAGGTGAAAAGCATGATGTGCAAAGAAGCAGAGTCATTGGAGATTCTTGAACTGATTGATGATGTTCAACGACTTGGATTGGGGTATCGGTTCAAGGGTGAAATAAGGAGAGCCCTCGATAGAATTGCGTCATTGAAAGATGAAACTAATAAGAGCTTACATGCCACTGCTCTCTGCTTCAGGCTCCTTAGACAGCATGGTTATCAGGTCTCTCAAGGTACGTATCATATGATCTATATATATGGCCAAGCACTTCACTGATCTCCGTTCCATCTCCTAAACCGTTCTGATGTACTTTTTCTTTTCTTCTGGAATTGTGGATAATTTCTGAATTGCAAGCTGACAGAATTAACTTTTTATAGGTTTAAGAGATTGATTTTCAATTCTCAGAAACAGGTACTAGACAGGCAATCGGACATTAATATATGAGTCTGCAAGAGCACCCTATCCAACCTCCTAGCAAAGAGGAAGGAAAAACGAAAGGAGCATCTTTATAGATCGGAAAAATTAAAAAAGAAAAAAAGTGAGGACAGACAGTCTTAAAACTGTGTACTGAAACAAAATCAAAGGGCAATAAACAAAGGTGTGGACAGTGAAATCAAGAGTTGTGACTGATTGACTTCTAACTCAAATTTTCTAAAGTTAAAATTTACTGAAAACGATAGGAAGCATAGATTCTTAATTAACCTAAATATTGAAAATAAATAAAAAGTGATCTATAACCACAGTTAGAGCCCAATTAAAAAATAAAAAATCAATTTCAACCTTAATATTTTGATTTAGGTCTCATTTACATGAACGATGAAATTAAAAATAATAATAAAAACTATTATAATTATAATTGATTGTGATTGAAAAAAATATATCAATGAAAATTTTATATTGAATAGATCTCACTAAAATTAATATTTTGACTCAAATAATAATGTAAAAAGCTTGATCACACCACACCAAAATTGTGATAGAATCCAAACTTAACCTTAATTTATACGATTTCTCATTATTTGGGGTTAAATTTTGATTAGAATATTAATTATTTTTATTTTTTTGGTTTATAATTCATGAAGTGAAAATCAAAATTTTCTAAATCAAGTTGAATTGTTTTTATTGCTTCTGATTTTTTTAGAATAAAATTATTTATTTATCTTTCAAAATTTATGTAAATAAATTAAAAAAGACTAAAAATGTTTAAATTTTTAAAATCAAACAATATTCATTTTATATTTTACGCGAAAATATAAAATAAACAAACACAATTATAATTTATCAGTTATGTGATATTTATGGTCACTCTTGACTTCGTTTCCTTCCAGAAAATTGCCAAGTTGAAACGTTGGTCTTGTAAAGCGTGCTTTTATGTAATCTTCCATATTCCAAGTTTAATTTACACATAACGAATAGATATTTTGATTGAATGATGCACTTTGTCTAAACACAGACGTATTTAGTGGTTTCAAAGACCAAAATGGCTCTTTCAAGGCAAACCTTAGCGAAGATGTGAAGGGAATGCTAAGCCTGTATGAAGCTTCATACTTTTCCATTGAAGGAGAAAATATCTTGGACGAAGCCAAGGAGTTCACAACAATGTATCTCAAGGATCCCAAAGTAAACATACACAAAAGCCTAGCTGAACAAGTAGGTCATGCTTTGGAGCTTCCTTTGAACCGCAGAATGCAAAGGCTGGAAGCACGTTGGACCATCGAATCGTACAGTAGAAGACAAGATGTAAACCAGGTGGTTCTTGAACTGGCTAAATTGGATTTTAACAGGCTACAATTCGAGCACCAGAGCGAACTGCGAGAATTGTCAAGGTCAGATTCTTCAAAAGCAAAAATATATAAGTGTATACTTTAATTTGGAGCTTCAAAACAAATAACCACGGGCTTATTGGATAGATAGAAATTAATTTGGCTTCTCTTGTGTGATTTAGATGGTGGAGAGCTATGGGACTCTCAAAGAAGCTGAGCTTCGCTAGAGACAGACTAATGGAATGCTTCTTCTGGACTCTGGGGATGGTGTCTGAACCTCAATTTAGTTACTGCAGAAAATCTCTGACAAAAGTTTTTAAACTGATAACCATCCTGGATGATGTTTATGATATTTACGGAACTGTGGATGAATTGGAGCAGTTTACAGATGCCGTTGAAAGGTTAGTATCGTTAAAGAATTCTCTCATCCACCTATAATTTAGTTAATAGTTACTGATTCTTAATGTTATTTTGCAGATGGGATGTCAATATTGTGCAAGACCTTCCAGATTACATGAAGTTATGCTTCTTAGCTCTTTACAATACCGTCAATGAGATGACTTACGACATTTTGAGGGAGGGAGGGGAAGTTGCTCTACCATACTTGACAAAATCGGTATACTATATATTCTATAGACTCAATTTTATTTAAATTTCACACACACACACACACACACACACACACACACACATATATATATATATATATGTGTGTGTGTTTTATTCAAATGTCTTTTGCTATAAGCATTGACGTCTTACTTTTTCTTACAGTGGGTTGATTTATTGAAGGCGTTCTTACAAGAGGCAAAATGGTGTTACAACAAGCAAATACCAGGAGTTGAGGAATATTTTGAAAATGGATGGAGGTCAGTCTCGGGGACTGTATTGTTGGCTCATGCCTACATTTTACTGGGTCACAACAGAACAAGGGAGGAGCTTGAGGGCATCGAAAAGTACCATAATCTCTTGCGTTGGTCATCCTTTATCTTTCGACTGTGCAATGACTTAGTTAGTTCAAAGGTGCATACATCTAATATACATTTTGGTTTTGACTGTTTCAAATACAACCTTTTCCTCTGATTTTGTTGGCCCTTTTGATTCCTTTTATTTTTCGTTCTGATGCAGGCTGAAATAGAGAGAGGTGACATTTCAGGTATCCTATGTTACATGCATGAAACTGGTATGTCAGAGGAATCGGCTGGAAAATACATCAGCAATTTGATAGACGAAGCTTGGAAAAAGTTGAACAAAGATGGAATTGGATGCTCTCCTTTTGACGAGGTTTTCGTAGCAACGGCATTTAACCTTGCTCGCCAGGCCCATTGCCACTATCAGCACGCAGATGGGCATGGAGCCCCAGATGAAAGATCTAGGAACCGAGTTAAGTCTTTGATAATCGAGCCCATCCCACTTGTTGGTGCATAAGCAAGTTACAAGCAATATTTTGAATAGCTTAAATTAAGAAGGGAAGAACAAAAAAAAAAGGGTAGGAAATATTGTAACTTGTAAAATTGTAAAATACTATTATAGATATATGGATACGCTAGGCAAGGATATGTATGTCAAATTAAACCATATGATACAGATCATGAATAGTTTTAAAATTAACAATTAATTAATTAATGCGATATTTGTAGAATAAAAATGAACTCATTTTTGTTTAACTTGTCGTAGAGGGTAGCCGTAGTGTTGCAAACAAGAAAAACAAAATGTGTTGGGATTGGGCTACTTTCAATCTCTAAAGCATCCTAAAAATGTAATAGCCCGAAAACCTAGTCACAGGTTACTTGATTATTTCCACTGCCTTTCGTTTCCAGTTACTTTCAACACACATCTCGGCTGCTTTTTCTGGAGCACTTTTACTACTGTATGCGATAGGCAATAGTAGAATCCCGTCTGCAAAGGAGCTACTTTAATAATTAATGAAGTAATATATTAATAATCAATTATTTTGAATATTTAAGTTTTTAAGTTCATACATAGTTTTATTTATCCTATTTTTTTCATACGAATGTTTTTTAAAGAAACTTATTGAATTATTATAACACTGACGCTTAAACATTAAAAGCTCTTCCCCAAGATGAAAAACGCATGAGTTGTTACTGGAGAATAAAATTTCTTGCCGGGAAGATAGAGAATATTTTGACTAGTTTGCAATGTTTTACTTTTTTTTTTTTTTTTTTTATGGCGATAACAAAATAGAACAGAGAGATTGTGGGTACGAAAATGACATTTGTGGCGTAGGAGTGGATCAGGATAAACCCATTTCATGTGGTGAAGACAAGTTCAGGGTACTTTGTCCTTTTTCATTCGGCCCAATTCTCGAGGCTACGAATCAAATGAGATCCAGGTCCTATTTCCTTTGTTTTTTTATTCTTATTTTTTTTTGGATATGAATGGCTGATTTTATCAACAAGATTGATTAGCATCAAATATTTTATTTATAAAGTTTAAATTTGATTTTTATTGTCAATAATTTTTTTTTAATGGACAACTTGTGGATTTAATATAAAACACCTGCGATATGCTCTGACTTTAAAATGAAATGAGTTCTTTTCATAAGCAGATCGGTGATTTTACAAAAAGACTGAAGCTTGTCTGTAGACAAAGAAAGAACCAATAATTGTTTACAGATTGTCAATTAATTTTTGTTCCAAAAGACGATTTTCACTTGCGAGTATTTAAATTTTTAGTGTTAAATTTTTTTAATTTATCACACAATATCTTAGACTTTATTCATAAATTACTCCTAAGATTTTTTCATCTTATTTAAGAGGAAAGTAATTAAATTCACTTGATTAAATGCTCAATTTAAAATTTAATTTTAATTTTTTTCAATTAAGTATATTATTTTTAATTTAATTTAATTTAAAATTAAATATTTTTTAATTGATTCAAAATAGGACTAGGTTAGCGTAATGTGACACACATGCATTCAATTAGAGTAAAGTTTTTTTTTTTTTTTCTACTATAAAAGCTAAAAGAAAATTGCTTCATTTGTTTCTCTCTCTACCAAAAACAAAAAGAGAGAGAGAGAGCATCTCTTTCTAAAAGTGAAACCACCGAAAATCAAGCTACCTAGATTCTATCGTCACCGTCATGTCAGTTGCCATCAAGTCACTGTCGATCGCCGTTGGTTGATCAGCTTTTGATCCTAAAATTTCATCAAATACTTTTATCGACCTTCTTGTCTTAGATCCATGCTTGCTTTTGCCCGAAGTAGTTTCGAACCGTCCAGATCTGGATCCAAAGTCGCAACTTAAAACTTTAAAATACTGTCGGATTTACACCAAATTTCACCCACTCCTTCCTTTCAACCTTCTCTTTCATATTCTCATGTTAGATTTTCTTTAAAATTGAGCGTACTTCTTAGATCTAGCCTTGAACCTGTTGCTTCAAGGGCAGAATTGCATAATATCATTCAAAAGGTGAGTTTGAGAACACGATTTAAAACTTGCAACATTTGATACAAAAGCATAAATTTTCGAGCAAGAAGCTTGCCAAGAGAAAGAATGGAAGATTATAGTAGAAGGTCATAAATAGTTTACTATATGCAATTATAAGAAATTATAATTAACTTGTAACCCCTGAAATTCTAAAGTTTTCAAATATAATAAAAAATTTTAAATACCTATTGATTTTATAAAATCTTTTGTTTGAAAAACAAAAAATGAATTCCATTTGAAAATTGTAAAGCCATATTAAGAATCTTAATTGACCCATAATATCTTATCCGTCAAAATCAAGTTAAACATATCAGAAACTATGATAACAAAATGCTTAGATTCCTATTTGATATTAAGTCATTAGAAAAAGAATTTAAATCTCTTAACAATCTCCATGATAAAAAGCATACTAAACCATGATTTTTGTTGCGATCTAAATTTAGTAATATTTTTAATACATCATTATATAACTATACTAAATCATAAACTCTTATTTAACTCTTTATTAAAAGTTTATTTAATAATAAATCATAAAATATTAAATCATAAAATATTTAACTCTTTATTAAATCATAAAATCTTATTTTAAAAATTATGTTTGATGAAATTCAAAATTATAATATTTCATTTTTATTCATTTCTTTTTTATTTTTAATATAGTCAAATAAACGGTATTAATAAGTTTTTCTTTCCTATTTTACATTAAAAATGTCTAGTAGTGGATCATAAAGACAATTTTTTTAAAAATAAAATAAAATATTAATAATTTTAATGGATGAAAATGAAACATTAATAAAAAAATGATAAATCAATAAATTTAACTCTAAATAATTATTTTGACATATATAATCACATGCAACACATTTACATAATAAATTAATATCATTTATATATAAAGTGTGAATTTCAAAAGTTCTAATAGTGATCGATTTAAACATCTTTATAAAATTTTAAATTAATAAATTTATTCTTAAATGTATAACTTTTATTAATTTATTTAAGTTTAGTTTAAATAAACTAAAACTAAAATAGAGTTTATGTGAAATTAAACTATTTAAGATTTTAAAATTTTAATTTTAAAAGTGTTAAAAATGAATGGCTAAAATATCCTTAATAAATGTTTTTATAAATTTTAATTTAAATTAATTTGTTTATTATCAATTTTTTTCTTTTACAATTAATCTAAAAAAGTAAGAAAAATGACTAAAATACTATTAAAAAATTTTAATTCCAAAAATATTGAAAGTGATCGATTAAGATATTATTAGTAATATTTTATAAATTAAATTTTAATTTAAATGACTTTTTTATTGTTATACTCTTTTTTATAAGTAGAATGATGATTTTTCACATTAAATGAAAATACAAATTTTATTAATCTATTTAAATTCAATTTAAATTAATTAAAATTAAAAATTGAATTTTTGTGAAATTAGACTATTTAGAATTTTTAAATTTTAATTCCAAAAGTGTTAAAAATGATTTGCTAACTTATCCTTGGTAAATGTTTTTATAAATTTTAATTTAAATGAAATTTTTATTATTACTCTTTTTTTATAATTAAACTAAAAAAAGATTAAAAGTGATTGACTAAAATATGTTTAATAAAATTTTAATTTAAAAAATATTAAAAATGATTTATTAAAATGTCATTAGTAATTTTTTTTATAAATTTTAATTTAAATAATTTTTTATTATTAGACTCTTTTTATAAGTAAAATAATTTTTCAAATCAAATGAAAATATAAATAGAATGGGATCAAAACTTGGTGTGCATAGAAATAAAACAATTATATAGAGTTTGTTTCTTTAGTTGTTATAAAAACAATTATATGTGTAGCTTATATTAATAAATAAATTCGGTAAAGACAATCATAATTAAGTCATCGAAACATTTTTTTTTCTATATTTTGCCTTCAATTTTTTGTTTTAATATATTAGCTATATATGTATGTTAATGATTTTATTATTTATATGTTTTATTAGTTGATTCATTTGATTGTTGATAACATAATTAAAATTTTTTAATCCCTTGAAATAATTCTTTAATATATCATTTTTATAAGTTTAGTTTAACCTTTATAATTAATTTTTCTTTTGTATTTTTTTATAGGATTTTATAATTGTTATTCCTATGAATAAAAACTAATATAAAATCAAATGCAAACAATTATACCCTTTTCCACTAACAATATGCATTATATGATTTATTGAGCACTTTAATTAGACTTTTTACCTATAGGAGGTAGTAGAGCTATCAGTAGCTCAAGATTGAGTCTCGTTAAATTATCATAAAAATTATTCATCTTAATTAAAATAATAATTAATTTAATTTTCTCATAACTTTTTTCTTAATATGTATATATATGATTAATTTATATCTCAAGATTATTTAATCTTTCTCAATTTTATCAAATTGCTCACTTTTTTTTTATCATTCAGGTGGTTGAATGACTTAACATGAATTATTTTAAATAAAAAATAATCAAGTATAGTAAAATTAATTGTTTTTATTTAATTCTTTAAAGATATGATAAAATTCATTGGAACTATTTTTTGAATGTATTTATGCCAAAATTACATTCATTTATAAAAATTTATGTTGTTAATGCTGAAAATGAAATCATTATAAATTATATAGATATTACAGAACAAGTTTGTTATTCTTAGAATTAGAATTTTCTTAAGAAAACATGGCAAGTACCAAGGTTAGCATTTTATTTTATTTTTTAAAATTATGTATTTTTAGTGTTTTTTAATAAAATTTATGTTAATATTTTTTTAAATAAAAGAAAAATTAAGCTTTCAATTGATATAACATACAATTCCATTCAATTGATGGAAGCATTAATGGAAGATTATTCTAAGTAGAAAAATGAGACGAAAGATTAATTAGTTATACATAACTCTATCTTCTCCATAAATAAAGAAGGTTAATACTATATGATATTTCAATGAAAAATATACAAATATATTGAT